GGGTAACCTAACCCTGGAGTACAGCTAATCTACGAAAGTTCTATTTTTCAAGTGCCTTCACGAATATGAACTCTGAAGTACCTTTGAGACATAGGGGTGCCCTCTATAATACTGTACCTTTAGGAAAAAAGAATACATTTGTTAAGAATATTTCTTTTTATGCTTTAAAAGAATTTTTAATAAAAATTCATTATGAATTTGTCAAATTCTGAGTCTGTTGAACCCATCCTATACAGGTTGGGAGACAAAAAACTTGATAAAGGTAGAAGCCTAAATCAAACATAGCCACCTGATCAGATCTAGGCCCAGGGTTAGGCATGCCGATGTAAACCAAATGAGTAGTGATCTGAGTCCAATTAGGTTGGTGGGTTGGCGCATGAACGGAAAAAAACTCTTCGAAGAAAGGCCCAAGAGGACCAAATCTTCTTAGAGAAATTTCCAAGTATTGAAAGACCCTAGCAAAGGGCCATAACTTCTTGGACCGAACTCTTTGAAGAAGGGTTGAACAAAGGGCCATAACTTCTTAGAGTATAAAACTTTNAAAGGGCCATAACTTCTTGGACCGAACTCTTTGAAGAAGGGTTGAACAAAGGGCCATAACTTCTTAGAGTATAAAACTTTTTCTAAGTGTTGAAAGTCCCTAGCTAGGTGTTAGGGATCAAACTCTTTTCAGAATGGCCGAACAAAGGGCCATAACTTCTTAGTGTATAAAATTTTTTCTAAGTATTGGAAGTCCCTAGCTAGGTGCTAGGGACCAAAATTTTTGAAGAAGGGCTGAAGAAAGGGACATAACTTCTTAGAGTATAATTTTTTTATAAGTATCGGAAGTCCCTAGATAAGTGCATGGTACTGAAATTTTTGAAGAAAGGCCGAGCAAAGGGCCATAACTTTAAAAAAAAGGTCGAATAAAACACCATAACTTATATAATTTGACATTGTGAAGCGGTCCCTAGCAAAATGTAAAAGGCCAATTTATTTTTAGAGAAGCCAAGTAAAAGACTAAAAGTTCATCCAGAACATCCAAAAATTCCTAGCTGAGCACTAAGAGCCAAACGAAATTTTTTTTTTACATATATCGAAAGGAAGGAGAAACATTGATTTTTCCATATATAATTGCAGTATAAGAAGTTTTTCCTCAGGAAGAAGCAGGTGGCCCAGAAGAGCTAGAAGTAGAGTAGTGCAAGAATAGCTCAAATGACAGAGGTACATTTGCAGCTTTTTGAGTTGTAACCTAAAATTTTATAAATTACACATGTTTCAGTGAAGGAATCTACGAGGCCAGATCATTCCGCCTTCTCCATGCCTTGTTCAAAGGCAGTATCATCTAGATCCTTGGCTTTGGCCTTGAATCGCTCAAATTCTTCCAGAAGGGTAGAATGCTCAAGTTAGGTTTGGGAATCTCTACATTGATCGTGCTCTCTAAAGTTTTCAAATCCTCTATCTTAGTTGCAAGCTTCTTGTCTCATCAGTCAAACTTAACATTTGAGCTTGGAGAACTAGCATCTCATTGCAAAGTTTGGCATACTCTTCATCAATGGATTCCTTATTCACTAATGTAGACATGTGGTCATGAATTGTCTCCTTCATAGCCTTGTCCTTCTTGGCTATCCTTACTTCGACCTCATAAACTTTTTGGAGACCCTGCGAGTCACGAGGAAGAGGGAAACAAATGAAGAACATGAAGAATCATTTTTCTAAAAAAAGAGAGAAGAAGTAAGAAGGAAAGACAATACTAGAACCATTTGTTGGATGGCTTGCCAAGAAATATCATCATTGGACATTGCTTTGTTTGCAGCCAGGTCTTGATATAGGATAACTCCCACGGCTATCCCCACTGCAACATTCACATCCTCGGTAGCTTAGTCTCAAATTGTTATTTCTTTTCCTTTTGCTTTAAGGGTAGGATGGAAGGCAAGGACTTTTCATTCATTAGGAATTTCAGAGAACGATTTAATAGTTCTTCTCTTTTTTGCCGCATGGTCCTCGGCATGAACCTCAACACCAAATGACCAAGCAGGAGAAGAAACGATATTAGAATCAGCAAGAGCCACTTCAGGAGTAAGAATGGGTGAAAGAATCAAAGTTTCTGAACATCTTGGGTCTTAGCAGGTTTGGGGGCATTATCCGAAAGAACAACTTGTTCAGTCTCTAAAGTAGAAGGATGAGCTAAGCTATCAGGAATTTGAACAGTTGAATCAAAAATGGGCGGGTTCGGCAAGATTGCCTTAAGAAAGGAAACTTAGAAAATTCTTCACCAATTTGTTCATTCCAGATGAAGGGGCAATAGATTTTTTTCCCTTTCGAGAGGTACTCGGTCCTCAGCAAGCATGGCATTGACTCGCTTGGGGACTGCGATGAAAGAATGGTAGGTGGGAGTGTATCCGAAAAGGACGTTCGCGGCTCAGCAGAACAAGATGTCATTATAAGATCACACTTTCTTCAGATAATCCATCTTCACAAAATGCTCGAGAATTTTTCCTCTGATAGTTTCATCTGAAGAGTAAGCATGAGATTGAGAAGAACCAGTTTGCAGCTCAGTAGTTTAAAAAAAAAGGGAGGAAAAGGAGACTCAAAAGCATTTTTTTTCATATACTTGGAGTGCCTTCCTCGTATGGGCACCTATACGAAGGAATGTCCCCAATCTTGTACTCCCAATTCCCAGAAATGAAGACAACGTCGCTTTCGTGACCCTTGTTCAAGTCAAGAAGATGAGTCAACAGATATCGATCCTTTCTCCTCACCGTTAAGTAGTAGTTGTCATCGACAGGTTTGAGGATGTAGTAGAACAGGATCTCCCAGATACCCAGGCTTACATTTAGAAGATCATTCAAGGTAGTAACACTCATGAATATCCTAAAAAAATTAGGACAACAATGAATGGGGCACAACATAGGAGCAGAGGGTGAAGAGGAAACCTCACGCCACCTTCAGTGATAACTCATTGTATGGATATGAATGGACTCTGTAGTGCCAATCAAAGGCTCATTGACAACCAACAACTCGGATGTGGACATTGTTAGGAATTTGGCGTTTGACCTTGAAGGCTGGAACGTCTTCTGGAGCGAAATGAGCCATTTGAAAGATGAAAAACAGACAAAGAGAGAATGAAAAGGTGAAAGAAGCAAAATCCTGAAGTGAAGCAAATGTAGGAATATGCTACTCTGCACTCCATTTTTAAAGGAGATGGACAAATGCCAAAAAAGGGAATGCTTGGAAACCAAAAGACAAACATTTAATGTGAAGAGACAAGGCAAGTACGATACACGTCTCGAGGATCTATGTAATGATGAGTATGGGAATATGAAATGATTTTCAGACGAAAAACGGCTGACATATGTTTCTTGGGGGCAAGTGAAGAGGCATAAATCTATGTCATGTGTATACTCATGTGTTCTGCAAAGGACAAGTCACGTAGGTCACAAGCAGGAATAATTAGGGATGAACCGAACCAGCCTAAAACAGCTCGATCCATGGTACCGAGCATGGTTTCACAGAGCTCAACTTGAAACGTGACCTTAACTGAACAACAAGGAAAGCTACTACAATTGAGGGAATTTAGGTGTAACGACTTGGCACAGTTAGCAGCTCAGAAGAACAGCAATTGAGGGAGCGTCTAGAGAGATTTCAGCAATCCCTAACAAACATTCCTGAGTAAGGGGAGATGTGTCATCTTGCCCCGCCAATAAGGGAAACCCTAGAAATAAGGCAAGGTCTATATAAAACATGAAGGATGCACTGTGAGAGATAAGTAGAATCTTCTCTGCATACATATCCTTTTCATACACTTACTGACTTAAGGATCGAAGTGCCATCAATTGAGGCACTTCGGTCCTAGACAGTTTGTTCGTTTTGTAGGGAGGACTTAGAAAGAGGAATACAATTTTCATCATCAAGCGTAGGAAGTATTGTAATCTTACCGCTTACACCCACCACCACACCCATAAAATCATCCAAATCCCCCTTCCTCTCGAAACCTTCCTCCATAGCACACCCACCATTGTACCAGCATTACCTCTATCACCACCACCACCAACACAATAGCAATGATCATCACCACTATTAACAAACCCAACCATGGTTTCACCACCAATAAATCATAAATCTGCTCCATCTAACAAATGTACAGTCCCCTTGATTTTTGGATTTGGGGATAGTATTTTAGAGAGAGGGACACAAAGGGTGGGCTGGTGGGATCAATGATAATTATGAATGAAGAAACTGGAGGGCAGGTGGGGGTAGAGGTGGGTGGGTATGTTGCGTGAGAGGGAGCGAGAGAGATTTATATGGTTTTGGGACAATGTGGTGGTAGGGAGGAAAGGTGGCAAGGTAGGTAGGTTAGAAAATGGGTCATACGCTAAGGGTTATGTTGTTCGGTCAGAAAATGGGTGTGACTAAATAGATGGTAAAATAATATAGTTATCTAATTCGTGTAATAAAATTAAATATCAGGGTATGCATGAAATTTACAATAAAATAAATAAATAAATGAAAACAAATTTAAAAATGACAAATTGGGACACTAATACTATATCTATAATAACACATTATAAAAGTAATTCTTATCATGCTAATTTTTTTTATTTGGTGCACACGTGCATTTTCTATAAAGCAACGCTATAAGAACCTTATTTAGAGATCTAATGATGTGACTGCAATGCTATTATTGGATTAGTTGTGAGAGCTAGTTGCAAATCACCATCAATGAAAAATTGTTTGATAATTCCAAAACAAATCATATAAGATGAATAAGAAACTTCAAAGTTGCCGGAAACAATTACAAAAACAAAAATAAAAAGATGGTAAAAAGGACGAGACCAATTACTCAAAGCTCTTAAATCCTCAATTCTTTATCAAAACCTTCGGTTAACCTACACTAAAGCCTTGAATAGTGCACTTCAATGTCATACGTACGCAATGAAGCTTCTTTATTCCCCTGCCACCTCAGAATGACGGGTGCAGGAAGTCATTTTACAGACACATTTGCCCGTTAACCCGGTTGCTCAAGCTTTGGGTTTGAGGATCTTAACAGTTTCCCAGGTGAAATCAGGGTCTTCACGGCCAAAATGACCATATGCAGCAGTCTTCTGGAACCTGAAGTTGCCTCCTCTCTTCAGATCAAGATTGATGGCAATCATACCAGGCCTGAAGTCAAAGTTCTCCTTGATCAGAGCCAAAATATCCTTGTCTGGGATTTTTCCAGTCTTGTAAGTGTCAACAAATACTGAAAGAGGTTCTGGCACACCAATTGCATAGGAAACCTGCACAATGCAGCGCCTAGCAAGTCCTGAAGCCACCACACTCTTGGCTGCCTGCCTAACAATATATGCACCACTCCTGTCCACTTTAGTAGGATCTTTGCCTGAAAAAGCACCTCCTCCATGAGCACCCCACCCACCATAGGTGTCGATAATAATCTTCCGGCCAGTGAGTCCTGCATCGCCATGGGGACCACCAATGACAAACCGACCTGATGGATTGAGGTGGAAGATGGTCTTGTCATCAAGATACTTGGCTGGGATGACAGGTTTAATTACATGTTCTTTCAAATCCTTGGCAATCTGCTCGTTGGTAACCGTCTCGTCATGTTGGGTTGAGATGAGAACAGTATGAACTCTGACAGGCACCATGACACCACCTTCATTCCGGTATTCAACAGTTACTTGGGTCTTGCCATCAGGCCTGAGCCACGGGCACGTCTTATTCTTTCTCACCTCAGTGAGCTTGGCACCAAGTGTGGTGGCAAGGACATGAGTGAGAGGCATGAGCTCAGGTGTCTCATCAGTAGCATAGCCGAACATGTGGCCTTGGTCACCAGCTCCAATTTCCTCAGGTTTCCTGGTGAGGTGACCGTGAACGCCCTGGGCAATGTCAGGGCTTTGTTGCTCAATGTTGACAAGGACCTTGCAGTGATCAGCATCCAATCCAACATCAGGACATGTGAAACCAATGCCTCTGCAAGTATCTCGAACTATCTTCTCGTAGTTGACTTTGGCCTGGGTCGTGATCTCACCAAAGACCATGACCATGTTGGTCTTTGTGCAGGTTTCACAGGCAACTTTGCTCTCGGGATCTTGTTCTAGGCAAGCATCGAGGATGGCATCAGAGACCTGGTCACAGAGCTTGTCTGGGTGGCCTTCATTGACAGACTCTGAGGTGAAGAGGAAGCTATCCATTTCTGAACTAACATAAGCAAATAGAAAACGTGTGAGTTCTTCTCTGTTTTATGTTGCAAACTTGGACTCAACAATCAAATGCGATGGACCTGGACTTCATAACAAACCATAATAATAGAACAGCCAAAAGACTAAAAAACAGGAGACTCTGAATTAGCAAAAGATAAGGCCTCAAAAAGTAGCACATGCCCAATATAACCTTCAACGGTCCTCTTCTAATTGCCTGGGAATGCATAGAACAGCTTGCTTATGAAGTCCTGCCAGGCTCTTCCATTCTGAATTTCTGGTGTGGTACACAACAGTCACAGTGCTCTGGACCATGTAAATGATGCTAAAAACTTAAAAGGGTGCCACTTGTGGCGTGACAATTATTTCATAGGCTTCTAATTTATTGCTTTTCAAAATCAGTTTCGATCAACAATTTTCTTAAAAGGGGTTCGATTACCAGCATACGTACCAGTTAGCCTGTCAAGCTACAAGAAGATACAGCATGATGCTTTTATTTAGCATCCAACTCATCCACAACAGTTAACCATATTTTATTAATTTTGCTCAAAGTAACTAATGTTGAATCTTGAATTCTTACATCTATGTGAACTTTTCACACATCTTTCATAAAATTATGGTGAACAGTCGCTTAAGAGTTAGAGACCCGGACAAGAGATACAGAGAGAGACGCGAGTTTTATATTTGGGAGTGGGCTTCCTCTAACAAAACGATTTCGTTTTACAAAAAATAGGGTTAAAAGAACTAATAAAAGGAATCATGCAATTTCTTTGATTCGAATCAAATTGTACAATTCTTGTGATTCAGGTGCGATCTTAGGCCAAAAACAATACTATAATAAGATACGAATCAAATGGGAACTAAGTCAAATCGAATCGCGAATTAGAAAAAGAAATTGAATTTGCTTTGGGACACTAATAAAAATATTATTGGTAAAAATGTGATTGTTGTGTCGATGGGTATGATACAATTGGAAGAAAATATACTAGTGATGAAATTTAAGACTTTTTGAAAATAAATTATTAAAATTTAAGACTCAATTGTCTTAAGGTAAACATGATAGGACTTACAGGGTTTTTTAAAAAAAACAAAAAACAAAGACTTATAGGTGATTTTGCCAAGAATCTACTCTTCTTAAATAGGTTATCTTTACTATAACATTGAAACCAAATGAGTAATGAGATTCAACCACTTTTCCTGTTTTGTTTCTGATCCAATGGTTGGCTACAAACAGGGTAGCCCTTGTATCCTCGCCCAAAACTCCCTCCCTATCCGGATCAAGGTGGGATATCCTAGGTCTAGAAAGTAATAATTTAGTAAAAACCTTCAAAACTAACAAATGAAAAGAAAAACCCAAACCACAAAAGGTCAAATATGATACTAGTTTTTGAGGCGATGCCATCATTTAGCAATATTGAATAGCATTGGAGATCTAATCAAAGATTTATAGTCTTGGATTTCAAAAATTCAAGGAAACATCACTAACCACAAAATATATGATCAAACATCAAAACGAATGAATCAATAACTTACGGGGAGTACTTGATCTACAATGAGGATACATTAACCAATTACAAAACATTCAACTAGATATATACCTTTCTTGTTTAGAATCTAGCAAGGCGCAGAGAGAAATGTGGAAGGAAAAGGAAGAGATAAGTTAAGCGTAGGAGAAGTAGAGATAAATTTATGATCCAGAGAGAAATATAGGGGGACCTAATGGCGTCCGTCTGACTCGCTCTGATCTCCCTCTCTCCCCTTAACACCTCAATGCGAAATATGCGGCCTTTCATTGGTCAAAAGACTCAAAACATCACATGCCACTGAAACTCCCTACTGTCGTGCGATTTTTAAATTATTTTTCATTTTTGGGTACACAGAACCTATCTAAACTTAGACCTAGTTGCAGATAATCATCCTCAACAATTAAAGGTTTCCCTTAACTCCCTCACATTTGCAAATAAGGTGCAAATCGTGACGGGTAGTATTTTTAATAAAAGGTTTAAAATACCCTCCATTTGTACTCTAATTTTCTTTAGGATGTCATCCATTTGTACTCTAAGCCCAGTGCCTAGTGCCTACCACCATGTCCCAGCACCTCGCCACCTTTACTAACCCGCCACCATATAAACTCAAGACCACTAGAAACGTCACGTTTTTCCATACATTCCATTCATTAGCTAGCTCAAAAATCCAAAGTGCTTCCCTAAATCAAACATTCAGTAATCCCCTTTCCCTATCCTCCCCTCCATGGGGAAAACACAATACTCAAAAACCCACTGCCACCTATTACCACCACTAACATAATCAAAAAAACCAATTGTTATGCCCAGTAAACTCCACTGAATCATTACTCTCCAACGCAACACCGATTTTCACACATACAATATTCCCAATTGCAACCGCTGCCATCACCCACCCCCAACCCACTACCACCACTAACAACAATCCGAATAAACCGATTGCAACAACAAACAACAAAACCCACCCAATCAAAACTCTAAAACCCAACACCCAAATCCACAAACGCATTCACATACAATTCCATTCTTAATTGCAAATACCACTATGTATTTTTTTTTAGTTTGTGAGAGAATTTACAAATAGATGAAAGGAACTAGGAGTTCAAGGGAACATAGGAGATGGACGATTTGCGGTGTAATGGGGTGTAAAGCTGATTGAAACAAAAGCAATACTCAAAAATAAAGACCGGTGACGAGCCCGAATTTTACTGGGTTAGACCCAATTCAAATAAACCGAGGAAGCCCAAACAGAGCAGGGTCAGCCCATTAGAAATGAAGGCATCAAGAGTTCAACACCCGAAGCCCCAAGGCCAATGCCCAAAGCAGGAAGGCATGGCAGCCCCTTGGGCGCTGCCTAGGCAGGCGCTTCCTCCTCTTTGCTCCTCTTGGCTTCGGTGCTCCAATACAATTCCAGCCACACCAACTCGAAGCCCCGGCTCAGGGTCAAGTCCAAGATCAAGATCAATCCAGTATCTCTCTCCGAGTGAATAGGAGCATGAGGGAAAAAATCTCGGGATGGAGATTGAGTCTTACTAAAATGGAACTTACCAAAGTCATAGAGACCTCCTTTATCACGTCACCGTCTTACCCTAACTATATAATGTACGCCCTCTCAACATTGGAGAGACGTTTCTAACACCTCTAAAGCTTCTACTCATCTCCTCATACACACTGCTCTCTCTCTCTCTCCAAAGCACTGTAATACACCGGAGTTATTTTCCGGTTACATTATTTATCAATAAAACACCTCAGGCCACTATTGCCATTCACAATAGTGGAGTAGGTCATTCAGACCGAACCACTATAAATCTCTATGTCTATCTTATTTGCCGCTTTAACCCTTAATTGCCATTGACTGTTTGTTAACTGCATATTAATTACACTTTTATACGTTCTTAACTGTTAATCTTACACGAGACCAATTTGTGCATCATCAGTTTGACGCTGTATGTGGGAAACGATTAATTTCCTACTCTCATTAAATCCATGACAATCACTACCCGATCAATGAGCCAACAGCCGGAAGACAACAACCTGACCCACCAGGAGGAGGCTCCGTCTTCCCTTGCACCTATAGAACCATCTGTTACTACTACTCCCGTGCGCTGGACAGCAGCAACAACTCCTCCATACCATGCAGCTGCTAGTGAGCCAAAACCAGCAAATCATCCAACTCATGCTCTCCCAAGGAGGAGTTCCACTCCCCCCACCAGGAGAGGAGCAACTGCCTATCCTTTATGGGCACCAAGCAGCCCCACACCATGGAGCCCCTCACCAGAACACTCTAGGACCACGCCAGGGTTCCCCTCGCCTAGTCCTTCCTCAGCGCATAGGGAATTCATGAGCACTCCATCCTCATGAACCTGTGTAGGAGAACGAAGATAGAGAAAGTCAATACGGAGAGCATGAAAGCCAATACCACCACCCAATGGAAGATGTCCCTAACCAGTGGGATGAGAAGATCAGAGAGGTATAAAACCAACTCAGCAATGCCATCAAGGTATAGGAACCGTGGACTACTTGGTAAGGTGCACCCGATACCCCTTTCATTGCTGATATCGTTAACTACTCTCTACCCTCGAAGTTCAAGATGCCCACCATCGAGATATTCGATGGCACCAACGACCCCGTAGACCACCTAGATACCTACAAATCTCTCATGCAACTCCACAATGTGCTTAAGGACATAATGTGTAGAGCCTTCCTTACCACCTTGAAGGGGTCTGCTCGTCAGTGGTTCTCCAAGCTTAGGCCCTCCTCCATCCACTCCTTTGCTGAGCTCAGCAAGTCCTTCGTCTCCCACTTCATTGGGGGACGCCGACATCAGAAATCAGTGACCCACTAGCTCACTATCAAGCAGGATAGGGATGAAAGCCTCAGAGACTACCTTGCCCAATTCAATGAGGAGATCCTCTAAGTGGAGGAGTCAGCTGATAAGGTGGCTCTGACTGCCTTTATTGTCGGCCTTCGCACCTCCAGCTTCATGTTCTCAGTCCNCCAGCTGATAAGGTGGCTCTGACTGCCTTTATTGTCGGCCTTCGCACCTCCAGCTTCATGTTCTCAGTCCTCAAGAAGCCACCTTCTAGCATGCCCGACCTACTGTCTAGGGCACAGAAGTATATAAATGTTGAGGACGTCACTAAGGCCCGTCAGGGTGAGTCCTCTCGAGGAGGGAAGAAAAGGAAAGACGACCGAGAAGACAGAAAGGAGACTGAGAACAAGAGAAAGAAAGCCGAGAGAGTCTCCATGAAAGACCGCCTCGGACCATTGCCACTAAGAGACCGACAGTCATTTACTCCACTCAATGCCTTAGTGGAGCACATTCTTTTCCAGATTCAGGACGACCCTGCGATCCGTTGGCCTGGGAAGATGAAGTCTGACCCGAAGCACCAGAATCCCAATAAGTACTATCGCTTCCATCGTGACCACGAACATGACACAGACGACTGCTTCTACTTAAAAAAGCAAATTGAAGAGCTTATTCAGCACGGCCACCTAAGACAATATGTCGTCGATCGAGGACTGACCCCTCCACGCGAAGATAGAGAGCGCCAGTAGCCCCTCGGTGAGGTTCACACTATTGCTGGAGGATTAGGAGGAGGAGGTGACTCCAACTCTACTAGGAAGGCGCACGCCTATAGAGCTAGACAAGTAGAGTCTCATGACTCTCGCCCGCTAAAGACACCCCGACACAGAGATGAGGTAATCACCTTCTCAGCCTGAGACCTCGAAGGAGTCCAGCTCCCACATGATGACCCTCTAATCTTGACCTTAATGGTGGCCAACTACCAGGTCAAGAGGGTCCTGGTCAATAGCGGCAGCTCAACCGACATCCTAGTCGCCACTACCTATAACAGCCTTCACCTTGACAGAGAGAGACTACGGCTAGTCAGGACTCCATTGGTTGGTTTCTTAGGAGAGAGTCTAGCCCGTAGGATCCATCACCCTGCCTGTCACAATAGGGACTGCTCCTAAAAGCTCGACTATAATGGTAAATTTTCTTGTACTTGATTGCCCTTCTACTTACAATGTGATTTTGGGGTGCCCTGCCCTCAATACCTTAAGGGCAGTACCCTCAACTTATCACCTTCTCCTTCGTTTCCCAATCTCCAACAGAGTTGGGGAGATAAGAGGAGATTAGGTCTCAGCCAAAGAGTGCTACGTGGCCTCTATGAGGGCTAAGAGACCGCACGAGACTCTCCAAGTCAAAGTATTTGACCCCAGGGATGACAACACCTTGGAAAGGGGTGAGCCAGGAGAAGAACTTCATCGAGTGGTGCTCAACGCCAGCCTTCTAGAGAGGAAGGTCTACATAAGTTCCTCACTCTCCTAGAAGCTGGCATTTGCCTTAATAGAATTCCTTAAGCAGAACACAGACGTCTTCACATGGTCCTATGAAGATTTGGAGCGTATCGACCCTGAGCTGGCCTCCCATCGATTCAATGTTGACCCCAGATATAAGCCTGTCTGCCAGAAGCTGAGGAGTGTGAGCACTGAGAGGGGGCAAGTCATGGAGAAGGAGATAGATAAGCTGGTCACGAATGGGTCAGTGAGGAGGTAGCCTACTCAGACTGGCTATCTAATGCGGTAATGGTGACCAAGACTAATGGAAAGTGGTGCCTCTGCGTGGACTTCACAGAGCTTAACAAGGCCTGTCCCAAGGACAACTACCCTCTCCCATGCATCGACATACTCATTAACGCCACTGTTGGACATGAGCTCTTAAGTTTCTAGATGCCTACTCCGGGTACAACTAGATCAGCATGTTCCCCCCAAACCAGGAGAAGACCTCGTTCATCACCCCGAGAGGCACTTACTACTATAGGGTAATGTCTTTCGGGCTCAAGAATACTAGCGCCACATACCAGGGCCTCGTTAACAAGATGTTCGAGGTCTAGATTGGGGAGACTATGGAGGTTTATATGGATGACATGCTGGTGAAAAGCATAGCTATAGCAGACCATGTAACTCACTTACAAGAGACCTTCAATGTGTTGAGAGCCTATAGAATGAAGTTGAATCCTGAAAAGTGCGCCTTTGGAGTCAGCTTGGGTAAATTCTTGGGCTTCATGGTCCACAAGAAGGGANTTGAGAGCCTATAGAATGAAGTTGAATCCTGAAAAGTGCGCCTTTGGAGTCAGCTTGGGTAAATTCTTGGGCTTCATGGTCCACAAGAAGGGAGGCAAACCCGGATAAAATCAGAGTTGTCTTGGAGATAAGGTCCCTTACCTCGACCAAGGAGGTCCAATGCCTCAACGGGAGAATAGCATCCCTTAACAAGTTTGTTTCTAAGTTTGCAGATAAATGCCTCCCCTTTTTTAAGATCCTCCGCAGGTCTTTCCAGTGGGGCCCAGATGCTGAAGATGTCTTCCAGAAGCTAAAAGCCTACCTCGCCACATCACCGCTTCTCTCCCATGCTATACCAAGTGAAGTTCTCTACCTTTACCTCTCCTCCTTGCCTTCTGTTGTCAGCTTTGTCCTCATCAGAGAGGATGGAGGCGTCCAGAAACCCATATACTACGTAAGCAGGGCATATCGAGGGGCAGAGGTAAGGTACTCAGAATTGGAGAAGTTGGTCATCGCCCTTGTCACTACTGTAAGGCACCTGCGCCATTACTTTCAGAGCCACACCATCATGGTAGTCACAAACCAACCACTCAAAAAGGTATTGGGAAAAGCCCGATGTATCCGTCCGTCTGCTCAAATGGGCCGTTGAGTTGAGTGNCACAAACCAACCACTCAAAAAGGTATTGGGAAAAGCCCGATGTATCCGTCCGTCTACTCAAATGGGCCGTTGAGTTGAGTGAGTTCAATGTGCAATATCAGCCATGGTCAGTCATTAAAGCACATGCACTCGTAGATTTCGTAGTGGAGTCTACACCATCACAA